GCCCGCGGAGCCCCGCGGTGCGGCCCGGCCGGGGCTGCGGCACGGCGGCAGTGCCCCGGCCAGCCGCGCTCCGCCCGGCCCTCCGCCTCCGCTGTGTGCTTTTCCTCGGGACTAACGTTTAAGTAAAATCAGTTCAGCGCCAACTTGCAGTTCAGTTTCATTCAGTTTCCTTCCGTTCCGATGGAAATTTACAGTGCTGCAGCGGGTCGTGTTGGTTTCCACCGGCACTTGTTGATGGTTGAGCAGCCTTGCAAAAACGGATATTTGTTTTACAGAAAGGTCTCAGCAAACCCTTTCAGTTTCCCCTTTAAAGTTAGACCACTGAAATGTACTCTCTGCTTGAAAAAGATTGTAGGCCTTATTAGGCTGAGGTGGCACAGTGCTAGTTTGTTTGGTTTTCTTAATTAAATACAGGGATGGTAATATTAAAGAAGCAGTTTACCCTGTTTTGGGACCAGGAAAAAGGAAGGGTTGCTCTCTCTGTGATAGAAGTGTGGGTACTGTTGTGAAATAATGTTTGTCACTCTTACTTGCTATATTCTGTGTGAGTCCTGGTATGGACTGTGCTGAGACTGGTGGGACTTGTTTGGGCAGAGAACTGATGGTTAAACTGAAGAGCTTGGTATATCTGGAGCAAAAAGGTGAATTTTGGCTCCTGCTAGCTTCCTCTGCATGAAGGATTGGGTACCTTTTGGGTCTTGTCAGGGTAGTATTATCTGTCTCTCAAAAACCTGAATCCCAGACTTTGTGCACTAAATGCATGGATTAAAAACGTTACCATGATATGCCAAAACAGTTGTGGTTTAATAAGAAAACGCCTTGTTCTTGTAGTGCAGTTAAAACCCTCAGTGTTGCCCATTGTATTTCCACCTGACCCATTTCTCATATTTTGAGTCGTTCCTCTGAATCACCTCTATCTTCCAAGGCTGAGAGCTGGTTTTGCACCCTGGTACCTGTGATGCCCTGTGAGCTTGTGGTGATGTAGCATCTGCGTGCTCTCTCCAGTGGAGGAAGGGCACTTGGTTCTGCTCTAGCTGGTTTAAGGTGGCTGTTCAAATATGGATTCAGGACCATGGGCCAGGGTGATGATGCCCAAGTGCTGGAGGTTTTCCCTAAGGTAACAGGTGAGTGTTCAGGTGTCCCAGGAGGAGCTGGGAGTGAGATCCTGGCTGGGCTCTGGAGCAGCAGCTTGCTGTGACTGTGATGGCTCCTGGAACCTGCAAGAAACTCCATCCCAGGAGGAGCTGTGCTGCCACATCACTCGGGTGGGATGGCAAGGGGCTGGACGTGGCTGCAGGTGGTGTGCAGGCTGCTGGGGCAGCTCTGGCTGCTCTCCAGGATGCACAGTGGCCTTGCCCACAACACGAGTTCCTGCTGATGCCAAGGCAAGCTGAGCTGAACAAAGAAAACCCCACAAAAGTGTTGGGAGTTCTGCAGTTGGGAAGCCCAGCTTGTGCTCGTGGTGGGGCTGGGCAGGCACTGGAGCAAGGGAGGTGCAGGAATGCATTGGTGGGTGGGGAGAAGAGCAGGTAGGACAGCATCAGTGTCGATTTAATTGGCTTAAACAGCATGACAAGGTGGAGAAGGGAAGTCATTAAGCTGGGAACAAGTAATTATATTAAAAAAAAAAAAGTTTTGTGCAGTTAATTTTCAGCCACAAACACTCTGACTGGGCTTGTGCAACTGCTTCTGCGAAGGAGGTGGGGGTGGGAGAGGAAGAGGGTGGAACTGCTGTGCCAGAGGACTGTGACAGTGCTCCCCTGGACAGCAGTCTGTTGCTTTTGGAGACCTTGCCCAGAGGCCATGTGCTTGGGCAAGCTTGCCTGAGGTGAGAGTCCCTTGCAGGAGGTTTCTGTTTTGGTGTCAGGGCTGGCAGTTTTATAAGGAATGTCAGCTGCCGGGGCATTCATCAGGGCCTGTGGGTAGGGAGGAGTTGTGAGGATGGTAGTAAAGGGGAGAAGTGTTTGGAGAAATTGAGGCCCATCACATTGATCTCCAGGGCAAAGGCAGCAGATCCAGAAGATCTCTGCAGGCCACCCAGTTTTGGTTTTAATTCTGTATCCTACACCATTTTTGATGCACACAGGTCCTCCAGGTGACAATGCAGAAGTGAAGGGGCACTGCCCTGTTCTTGTGCTGGGCTCACTGTGCAGCCATGGCTCTCAAGCCTGGTGATCAAGCAAGGGGTTGCTTCAGGCCTTATTATTATTATTCACCCTTATTCTGCGTGCCCCAGCTTCACTCTCATGTCTTCTCTTGGCTACCTGGATCAGCTGCCCATGCCAAAGGACCTGGAGCTTCATTTCTTCCCAAAGAGTCTCCTGGCCAGTGCAGTTCATGGTGCTGTGTTCAAGGCACAGCTTGGAGACAAAGAAGAACTGGAATTCTCAGTAGTAAAATAGTCCTATTCCATAATTTTTGAAATGTCTGTTGTGTGCAGACTGAATGAAGTCTGTCCAGATGCTGGTGACTGCAGGTGTGAGGAGTTGTCATTCTTTCTCATGTGTAATGTTGAAGTAACAGTCCTGAATATTTGGTGTCCTAGATGTTTTGTGGAGGGAACAGATTCTTTGGAAGCAGGATACCTTTGACAGTGATTTAAGGAAAAACCAGCACCCAAACTGTAATTGGAGTAATTTTGTGTTTCATTGCCAAAATTAGTAGTAGTCATTGCTGCTAACATTACTCAGAAAATGATAATTTGAAGAATGGTGGTATGAAATCTAGAAATGCAGCTTATTCCAAGGCATAGGGAGAATTTTGATTCTAATTAAAACCTGTGGAATCACTCATCATAACTACAGTGCCAAAGAGGAACTGGAACCACTTATAGCTGATGCTTATGGAATCAGCTCAGCTGCATTGGGCACTCAGGAAGACTGGAGGCAACTGGGACTTCTCCAAATACTCAGTGCCTGGTGTGCTCTGGTGTCTTTAAAAAGCAAAGCAGAGATACTGTGTGTGTCTTCTCAGAGTGTACATCTCAGCTCAGATGTGTGGGGTGGGAATTCCTGACTGGTTCAACCAAAATTTGGAATTTTCTGTTCCCTTCATGTTTGTGTGGTCCTGTTTGCTCCTTCATTGATGTCTGCCCTCTTCATCTGATACCAGCCATTTTAGCAAAAATCAGAGGAGGTCTTTCTCTGGTGAGAAAGTCCTTTGTGGGTATGAGGCAAGGAGCCTGGACAGGGAGGTTGTTAAGAGGTGTCTGAGTGCAGGAGGAGATGAACTAGAGTGTCTCTGTTACCCTTGGATGCCATTCATGACATCAGTGGCTTACTGAAGTTAGGTGATAGATTCCTATTTATAAGGAAACTCTGTCCTGTACCTTTTTTCTGGCAGAAAAGAGCTGCTGGGAGGCTTTTTGAGAGGTCAGGAATTGCTCATGTTTGTGATGGACTCTGTCAGTCACTGTGGTCAGGTGAATTTGGTGTGGGTGTGTAATGTACACTGTGTCAGGAGTAATCATGGCTCCACACAGCACTGGCAGAAGCAGAATATTGCTTGAAACCATTTGTGGGCTCACTGCAACCAGGCTGATCCTCAGTGTGGGAATTCAGTAAGAGATGCCATGGTTCCCATGTCCTCCTCCATTGCTTGCTGCCTTGGTGAGTGCATGGAGTGAATAAAGCTGCTCCCTCCCCACTTTTACCCTTGGTGGAATTATCAAACCATGTTTGTTAACAGACAGCACTGATGCAGGCTGACTCTGGCAGATTGATGGGTGTATGTCTACTTGGGCATATTTGCATTTGTTAAGAATGATAAAAGTTGTATGGTGGGCAAATCAGCATATTTTAGTTCATTTTTGCCCCGGTATATTATGGCCATGTCTACTTTGAGTCTTGGTGTAAGCTTGTGTGTGTAGGGTTGTATTGGCATGTGGGCATATGGTTTTGCATTTTGCCTTTCTGTTTCGTTTTACTTTTAATCAACTGATGGGTTTGATATGTCTGTTTTCCTGGTAAAGGGGCAGCCCAAAAGTACTAGTTAGTCTCCTCAGATGCTGGGAGGCCTTTTCAGTTATTTTATGCTGATTTGAGGAAGCCAGGAGGTGTGGAAGTCACACTGTTGCCCATCAAAATTAGTTATCCTGCAAGAGAAAGATGTGTTTTGTGAGGAAACAGAAAAAGCCAAAATGTGTGCTTTCCAAAATTCATGTTGTTGAGGAGTCCCTGAAATTAAATTTGTGTGTATGCAGTGAAGTATTGCTTACAGGAATCTTGTGTAACCACATCAAGCTCTGCATGTATCAAACACACATAAACAGCTTTTTAGCATCATGCTGCTTTGA